TTTTTTCTTTCAGTGGTGGATTCTTATTTGCAACAATAAACACGACACACAAGATCATTCGACATGGCCTGCATATGCATACTTTGAGTCTTAGCAACAAAAACAATCATGAAGCATGAACAAACAATATCACATACCAAAACACGCAGGCGACAAAGAACTAGACCATGTAACAACTCTTACAGGTTACAGTAGCTGGCAAATTCTTCACGCTCACTAAAAGCCAAAGCTCTGAGAGAAAAATAATTGAAGAATTTGGGAGGGGTTGTCAAGAGGTACATCTCAGCTGAACATGCCCTGTGCCCCTGCAATGAACACCTGGCACATGAACTCCGGTGGCCGCCACGCGCATGCACCGCGTGCATCACACCTAATTTAGTTTGTCCAACTCAGAGGTGTCTCCTCAAAAGTGTCTGATTTAAGGCAGGCATGTCTGTGTTCAAGTTGAACCCCAAATCTGCACCAATGCACCACGTGCAGCACACATAATAGATTAGTTTGTCCAGAAGTGTCTCTTGTAAACTTCAAAGATGATCCTTCAATGACATGAACATAACTATATACACTCATGAGACTCTGGTGATGCCTTGGTACAAGTCCACTGCAATGTGACCCAGTTCTTGGCGCCTCCATCAGACGCCTCAAAACCACTTTCTAATCGTTCTATACCACTGCAGCGCCAAACCCGAAGTGCCTTGAACCCCCTGGGCCACCCAGCCAGCGTTCGTCTGGGCCTCCAGATCCGCCCGGGCCGAAAGGAGCCGCTTCACCACGTGGGACTGGTGATTCTCGGCAGCCCGATGAAGAGGCCTCTCACCTCAGTCGGTGGGTTGTTAAGTGGATTCATTTGGGTTTGGTTCAGTGGCCTGGTGGGAGGGCAACTTTCTTTTGGGAGAAGTTTCTTCAAGTTGTTTTTTCTTTCAGTGGTGGTTTCTTATTTGATTTGCAACTGACAGAAGCACAAAAACTGCTGAAACAGTGAATGGACGCGTTCCTCATTGTCTGCAGGTGTTGGTCCTGTGCTGTTCAGATTGGAGTGCCCATACCAGTATTGTGAACATTCAACCAGGAATCCTGCAAAACACTGAGTCGTTTGCTCCCAAATGCTCCCAGGCCAGGGTCAAGAAGTCTTGTTGGCTGTATACACAAAACAGGATCTACTTCTGTTCTATTCCAGCTATAGCACCTATCGACCTATATATAGGACACAATACAGCCGCGCTACGCCCAAATATGCCCAAATGGTGGTGGGATCAGGGGCCGTACTAGTCAATCCGACACCGACCTTCTTGGCCTCATGGCCTAGGCTATCAAAACTGGAGCTTCGCCCAATTTCTCCGCCTTGATTTGTTTTCCTGGCCATTCTGGTCTTCGGCTTCATTCGGCTTCCACTGTCGGCCAGTCTTCCACTCAACTTCCCCCGTTTTGGCGTCAGCTGGAGCTCCTCCCAAACCCCCCCACGATGGGTTGCCCGGCCGTGTTTGTTTTCCGCCTCCACCTCGGCCTTAGCCTCTAAGAGCCGGTCCACCACGGAGAGGTGCCCCTTCCCGGCCGCGACATGGAGAGGTCTCACGCCTCGGAAAGGCCGGGGCCATGGAGGGCACCTCAGCCCTTGGCACCCAAACACACAAGAATCTTGGCACTCACCATATCCAAAGCCGTGAACTCTTCCACTCAGCTTATTATCATTTTTGCCCAAAGCTCCTCCGCCCTGCTCGGGTTTCCTGGCCGTAGCTAGTTCGGTCATTCACATCGGCATTCGCCTGCAGCAGGCGGTCCAGCACACCCAGGTGGCCTGATCTGGCCGCGTAGTGGACCGGTTTTACACCTCGGACGGCGAGCGACGACTTCGTCGGGTGGGGGGCCTGGGGATGGCGCTGGTCGTGAAACCCGGGGGCCTTATTTTTGGGTGGTGGTCTGAGGTCTCGGCGCCTCTTGGCCTGGGGATACCAATAAATTGCCCGGTACATGCGTTTCGAGTGTTTCACTCTTTCGGCCCTTGGGGCTCCCTGCCGACACGGTTCTCTGCTTCCAGCGAGGCCTTTGAGGCCAAAAGAAGGTCGACCACCTCCGCGTTGCCCGCGAGGTGGAGGGGTCGATAGCCTCAGCACGTTGAGGGGAGGGTGTTTGGCTCAGCGTGTTCCCCACGAGAAGAGATGCGTTCTTCAGAACTTGTAACATCAGGTCATGCAACTCGCAGCTCAGAAACGACACATCCTTCATCTGCAGTATCCAAGCGGGTTTTCACCTGCCACACTCCTGCCCGACCTTCCCGAACTGCTGGCACACAATGCGGCGCTTCCATATCTTCAGCAAATTTCAGGCCCCCTGGCCTTCCTCGTCCTCCAGTTCCATGTCTTCTCCAGCTTCGAGGAGGCGCTGCACTTCGGCCGCATCGCGCTTGAGGGCCGCTCGGTGCAAAGCGGAGCGACCTAGGCCACGGTCGTGGAGTCTCACTCAACTCGGCTTCCCGGAGGTTCTTGCATTGTTAATTTGTTTGAAGTCATGCTTGAACCGTCTCGGATTTCACTGGTGGGAGTGTGCATTTCGGAGTGTACACCTGCTTTAGTAATAGGTCTTTGAACGATCAATGTACAAATTGTTCCTTGGAATCGGATTGACTTGGTGCAATAGGGAAAGAGCGAGGAAGGCGACGTCTACAGGATCCAACATATGCTGCCCGGTCTGAGCTCACTGAGCTCCTCGCCCTTCTCATCGAGATCCTAGCCTCGAGACTAAACAGCGGACAGCTTTAAGATATCTGATGACATCAATGGCCATATTGTTTAAACCTGCATCTGTAGTCACAGCCTAAGCCTAGCTATACTGTTACAGTATGTTCTGATTTATCAGCCAAACAGGCCAAACAGCACTCCATGCTCAAACATCAGCATCTCCTACCCCAAACTGTAAGGAATCTGAGAGTTCAACGTCCGGCTTCAGCAGCCACCTGCAAGTCGGAGCTTCCAGCAGTGGGTGTCCCCCCCAAAAAAACTGCTGCCAAACTACGAATGCTTTGAGATATTGATAAATGATACTGTAGGGCTCTTGAATGATGGATGAGGTCATGTTGAAAAGGCATGAAAAGGCTTAATTGGAGTTATTTCATATGCACTATGCATGAGTGACGGTTCCTATGACGATTCCGGGACACTTGAAAAAGGACAACTTCCAGCAATAATTATGGTTCCTACTTGCGGTCCTATACGGTCCTATAGAAGTC